GGGGGGGGGGGTACTCTCCGTCTCATACCTTGTTGCATATGAGCTAGCGAGCCTTACCTTTCTTTTGAACTGGACAGCTTATTATAGCTCCAGATAAGTCCCGTGTGCAGTCGGTCAGTCTGTCGGATAACCGACAGCGTCAGTTGCTGCTTCGGTGGGACATGTACATGTCCGTGAAGCGTTCGTACGGTGGTCGGAAAGGCATTCAGTACAGGTTTGCAAGGGACTGTCTATCCCAACGGCCACTCTAGAAACGTGAAACTCTTGGTCATTGGCGGACCTAGGGTAGGGGGGGGGGGGTTGATTGCCACCCCAAAGGAAAACAAGTAATATTTGTATTTTTTTTAAAATGCGATCAAAAAACCCCGATATTTTTGGGTTTTCCTTTTTCTTGCAGCCCTTTGTAAAGCGTGAAAAACCCAAATTTTACCTCAACCCTCAGAAAGGTCACAAAGGATTATACCCCCCCATAAAAATTAATTTTTGCCCCCAAAAGATTGGATTAGGAATTTACTTTTGGCCTCGGGCAAGGATATCATATACCTGACGCAATGTGTTTGAGGGGTGGAGATCTTCGGGCGTTAGAGGCAGGTGTTATCAACGAAACCTCACTTTTGGTTTATTTTACTGAAAAATCGCACTTTAATCAGATGAAAATTATGACCAAAATTATCTTTCCATGCACAAATTACTGGGTAATTCGCAGATGGGAGGCTCGCAATATCAATTTGCATAGGTTTCTCCAATCCGCCATTTCATGATTTATTCGGATATCCAAAAGGGCAAAAGCAAAGCATTGAAGCCAGGGAGATATTCAGCAGCGGATGACACCCAACGGCCTATTCAGCTAGGTCGGTAATCCGAGGCAGGAATGCATAATTTTTCAGAAATCCACCCTACCAACTAAATGATGCATCAACACAACATTGAAATATCGAGGGGATGCGGCTGAGACCCCCTTGGGCACCCCGACTCTCTCGCTCGCTCGTGCTCCATTTCCCCTTTAGTTTGAGGCCCTCCAACAGCTTGAGCTTGAGTATTCCTCCGGCGCCTTGTCCCCTGATCTCTCATTCTCTGCCAACTGCCCATGGGTATATTCATAATCTGCACTGCTGTCACACGGGTGGCAACATTGCAATTTCCCCCGTGAATTATCTTGCAAGCAAAACGAAAACAAAAAATACCCTGATGGTTAAAACGCCTGCTAGTTGTGAATACCGTACGTCCACCGTACTTTATTCCCGTACAAGACAAGTACAGTCGCTTCTCACTGTGAAACTCCCAAAATTGTGAACAGTGTGTCTCGGTATTTGAGAAGCAAGCAGTTCAAAGGGATCAGTGTATCAAATCAATTTATAAACTAAAATACATGTGCAATCAATAATGCTGCGTGAAAAGAGAAAAGTAGGCTAGGATTTCTGCTGCCAGCAAATATTAACTTAATTCTATGTAGTTATTTATCAATTTCTGATAATGTCAAGGGTTGTGGCAAAGACTGTACAGTCCATCCCGAACCACTTCCCAGATAAAAAAAAGTAATTTTTAAGGTAACTAACTTAAAGATAAAAAAACACAAAATTTATGTGAATAAGAAGATAGAAATCAAAACTAAAAGGTATAATACATGACGAAAACATGAAAATCGACAGGTTGATTCTGTTGGCCTATAAAGCAAGGAAAATTATATAAAAGATTACACCTATAAGCTTCATATATAAGGTACCTTGACACAGAAACAGGGGTGCGCGCCACCTAGTCTTCAAATAATTGATGCACCAATCTTTATAATGATTTCGTCTCGTCTCTTTTTTCTCGTCATGGCTTGAAAATTATTGGCTTACTTTTGTAGTGTCGGCCTAAGCCTCAATGCTTCTCAGACCCAATCACGCGAAATCCGTCCATCATGGGCCTAGTTCAGTTTTTCTGATATTGGCTTGCTCATGTGAGTTCAGGGTGTCAGTTGGCCTACTGTTATGCACACTTGACCAACAGCCAGCAGCAGCGTTGATGACAAGACGAGGCAGAACGTGACTTGAAAGTGGCACACAGTCAAGTTCCGTTTCAAGTCATGAATTTTCACGATCATGGTCGACTTCTCTAAGACACCAAAGTGGGCGTAGGGTTCGTCATAGCGTTTGTGTTGGCTTCCTGTTGCCGCGTCTTTTATGTCACTATCCGGTTCGTAAGTGACTTCGTCACAAAGATTGACACGCCACCATTTGCAGGTTCCCATTGGACGATCGCTGAAGCTACGTGTTAACTTCCGGTTCCGTGGTTCCATGTAAACGGCGATCAATATGTGCTGTGCATGTGCAGTGGGCCTAGTTTAAACTGAAGTGACGTCACACATACGAACCGTATATGAGCCCCGGGCTTGACCAAGAGAGGGCGCAGTTTTCCGAGCAAGGGAGGCTTCTTTGGTCAGGATTGCACTTCGCCAGTTCACAAACGACTATGAAATGCACTTGTGATGGTCGCATCGCTACTAACAAAATTCCGATCTGGACCAACACGGCTCTTTTCATGAGGAGGAGCTTCTGCTCAAGGCAGATACCCCCCCCCACTCGTTTGCCAATGAAGTATAAATTTTCAGTCTGGCACTAATTCGAAATACAAATTACTTGAGCCTCCAGATGGCGCTGTTTTGCGTTGATTCCCATGTGCTTCGCGGCATGCATGCTGCGTACGTCTAATCGCATATATGGGTGCGTTCTACCAAATAATTGGATTTCTGCGCGAAAGCTCATTAATTTTTGTGATCCCACAGGTTTTTCCAATAAGACATGCCAAAATCAGGAGGGATCATAGAGATATTTCTAGAAATCACGGATTTCGACTGGTAGTTTTCAGTTCGGGTTATTTCTTTCATAAAACCCCATCCTCTTTGCGGGTATCTTCGGGAAAAGGCGAAAACTCGTGTGGCTAACACCGATGAAATTGAAACGAAAAGTGAACAGGCCTGCAATCATACGCGCACAAAAACACAAAGAGTGCCACTTAGGGACTCTGCAGTTTATGAGTAGGCCTACGTAATTCTTTCTTTCGAATTAGTAAATTTTGGAATAAAAATTTAGTAAAACGAATTAGTAATTTGTTCAGCGAATTAGTGTCAGGCCGAAAATTGTACGATTGGGCTTTCGTAATTTCCTTTGTACTTGTGTATTAAAAAATTAGTGTGTGAAGCTCAGTTTCCAAATCGCTCCATTCAACCAGACTATGGCTTTCCTGGGTTGACATTTCAACCACGGTCCCTTCAGTAAAATACCTCAATTTGCGAAAAGTATAAGATAACTTTACCTTGGAAATTCCTCCTTTTTGAGTAAATTCGAAAAATCTTTTTCGTGAAATTCTTAATTTAAGCACCGTCTGCCCACAAGTGCGTACAACGAAACTTTCTGACACGGTTAGTACTCTCCAGGCCGACGCTTTACACAACATTCCAATACATTCGGTTTACATTTAAAAAAAACAGGATCACACATCACCTCCTCGTCAGGGTTTTACAGGAACACACGGAAAAACTCGTGAGATTTTGATTTTGAACAGCTGCAAAAGGTAGAGAGATGGCTTCCAATGCCATAGACCATGTAGACAATGGGAAGTTTTGCAAAATTAACATTTATTATTTTCCGTAACACAGAAATGAATGTTCCTGCTTATACAGAAAAGAATTCAGCCCATCCAAACCTTAACTCTCGAATAACGTACATGGACGCCGCCATGTTGAATGTTGCTTGTGATAACCAGATGTATGTTCCCGACGTTCGAGCGGCCGACCCACGAACAACAAATCGAGCTGTTCGTCGTGAACATACGTCACGGGAACAAGCCGCCCGAACTCGGCCAGGTCACGTCAAGCCGTACGTCCAGGCCAGGCCTGGCCTGGCCCACATCACTTGGTGGCGTCTTAACTCAGTAATGGGCTGTCTTGCACTCTGCGTGGTCATCTGAAGTTACAAATTTCAGTGAATTTGCGTTTTTCCTATTTTTCAAGCACCGTCACGCCATTGGTTGTGGAGTTCATACGTCCTTGGCTTTTTAGGAGTAAGTAAATTAAAGGAGAGAATGTTGCATCCTGCCTTCACTTTTTATTGATCACACATGTCAGTCATTACTAGGACAGGTAGCTATTATTAGTATACGGTACGCTGCTCTCCCCAAGCAATATGGCTAAGGAGTGCAGCGGACCGTAGGCCACATTAATGGGGCTATTACTGGGCCTGCTTACTACAACTACGTGTACTATTACTAGGCCTACTAACGTTAGTAGCCCTTCTCCTGCGGAGAGGCATGCTAGGCTACTGCCTAACATTACAGTAGGCAACAACGCCTTGCAAAATTTGCTTGACCCCTGTAGACTTCGTACAATTACAAAGTTGTTAATATGGAGTCAGTATGCAACCTTCTTACTATTTGTACTTAAGTTGTGCATCAACAAATCAAATTTTAGAGTCTGCAAATCTCACTGGCCAGTACAACCTAGGACGTGCACAGGTGTGTACTGACGACAGATCTTTGTTCCTGTGTTGATATGTGTGTGATATAGCCAAGACCTTTGCCCCCTGTTCTTCCATTGTCATTGAATTTATACAACAAAACTTGGCAAGAGTTCCATCTTACCAACATCACTAAGTCTTCCCTACTGTGACATATCCATTAGAAAGCGATGAGTCATCATTATTAGTAGGGAAAATATCAAAACATTTACTTAGAAACTACTGAGGATTTCTCAGACCAGTTGTAGGGTTTGTGCACAGGGTTAATGATATCCGTGCATAGAACGCTTTCCAAATACCCTCTGTGAGGGCACTCCATACAGTCCCTAGTTTTGCAAGCAAATTGCACTTTGTGCAAAAGGAATGCCATTTCAAATTGATGACCAGCACATAGACTTTTCTTTTTTTTTTCATTTTATTTCTTTCTTCGTCCAACTGGCATTGTTTTTCAACTAGTGATAGATCACAATTATTTCACTTCACTGGCAGTAAAAATGAGCGTAATTTCTATCTTACCTGTTGCTGATAGTGAAGCATACATACATCTCCCAATTCATGGTGGCAGATTCTATTCCATGGTCCATCACAATGTTTGTTTTTTTACCCCCAAAAGTTACAGTATTCATCCATTGTTTTACTGCAGAGGATGTTTCACCTGTATACGATTTGTGGCTCTGACAGATTTTGGAAAGGGAACTAAGCATGCTAAAGACCACAGTTGCACTAGTGCTGACGTTCTGAATTTCATCTTACTCATGAATGGAATTTTCATATTACTGAATCAGACGAAGATTTATCCCAAAAGTCTGTCAGGTCCACAGTCCAAAATTCATGGCTTTTCTGTGAAATCCCCTTTTCTGTCTCTTTTTCATTTTCTGCATCTTGCATAAAGAAATGACATCACAAGTTTGTAGATCCCCACCTTACCCTGGAAAACCCACATCATGTGCCAAGGAGTTTGCCATTTCACCAGCTGTCAGTGGTTTTTCAGTATTATATAGCAATTTTAGGCCTCTTTTTTTCTGTATGGCTTACAGCCAGAAGTTGTCTTGGCTCATCCAGAAGTAACATTCGCTGAGGCTCAATTGGAGGCAAAATGTAGTCTTGCTCCTTCACGCAGGTCGTATCAAGAAGTAGACTGGTAAGATGTCCTCCAAGAAGAAGAACCTCCTGGTGATTGACTGTGATGCGGGAGTCGACGATGCCCATGCTCTCATGGTTGCCCTGAGCAACCACGACACGGAGGTGCTGGCCATCACCTGTGTCAAGGGAAACGTGAATGTGGACCAGGTTTGGTACAATGTGCACCGGGTGCTGGATGCTTGTGACAGACCGGAGGTCAGTATCACTAGGAACTACTCAAAAGAGTCCCTCTTGTTGATTTGTTCATCCTCAAAAAACAGACGGTTCTAATGGATGCCAGGAAAGTGTTGGTAAAGATAGTCCTACACATATTAGATCTGCCAGAGGCATAACTTTGTGTCTTCAGTTCCACTTTAGCCTAACTCTTCAGGCATTTGCACAAAAAATCTCCTTGATTTTGTTCTACAGAATTCAGGGAATGACCGATACACTCATTGGACTTTAGGGCTGTCAAGCCCCATGTAAAACAACATAGTGACTAGCTTTTTACCTTCCTTGATCTACAAGACCCTGTGAAACCTCCTAATTGGATTTATTGGAACTTGGTGGGTTAGGGATATTTACAGCGCTTCACTTATGTGTCTGTACTTGCTGACTGTTTTTTCTTGAGAACATAAAAGTATTTATTCCCTGGTTAGACCAAAGCAGTGGTGGATGTGAATGAAAGAATGCATGTAAACTTTCATGGTAGCCTGCATTCATTCTTCCCAGATTTTTGTGACAACTCGTTTTCTTGGCAAAATTTAGCATCCCCCTTTCTGGTTGTTTTGTCTGGATCCCTGCACCCTCACAGGTTCCTGTCTACAAAGGTGCCCCCAAACCCCTCCTGACAGACCTACCGGAGACAGCCTTCCACGGGAAGGACGGTCTGGGGGATGTGCCTCCGCCCCCGGACTTCACTATCGACCCAGGTCACCAGCGCTCTGAACATGCTGTGGACATGCTCATCTCGCTGGCCGACCAGTACCCAGGGCTGATCTCGCTGGTTGCCATAGCGCCCCTGACCAATCTTGCCCTGGCGGAAAAAATGGCGCCGGGTTTCTCGGCCAAGTTGAAAGGGGTCTTCATTATGGGGGGTAACATGCACGGTAAGAGTCTGCGCACATGTAAACTACCCTGCCCATAGTCAGTCAAAAATATTGAACTGATAGACAAAACTGCAGTTCAGTGAAAGAGGAGAGTAAAAAACCGAGGACTGTAATTTCTCATTTGTTAGTCTTTTGGATCTACTCGTTATATCCCACATCAGCATTTATCAGCGGCCTGTTACAAAGCAACGTTTGTTTAACCCTAAAAGAGCTTGGGGGAGGGGCTGAATCCACCCCCCCCCAACATTTTTGTGAACCAAGACTGTTTTTTCGCAGCGCGCATTTTTCAGAGACGGGTCAGCCAAAAATGTATACTGTTTCCAGTGTGGTGTTCAGCGCATGCGGGCTGGAATACATGTAGCCTTGAACCTTCAAATGATGGTTACGACAAAACATTCCATGACATTGTTTTTTACCTTAGAATTTCACTGTATGAAATTTGGATATCGGAAGTACTGAACCATGTGAATCCACAGGCAGAGGCAATGCCAACCCCTGCGGGGAGTACAACTTCTACCAGGATCCAGAAGCAGCCTACATTGTCCTGGACAGTTACCAGTGCCCTGTTACCATGGTAACATGGGAGCTCACCATGGCAACAGAAGTACCGTTTGTAAGTTCCCCCCCCAAGAATTCCTCCAATCTGACAACAATGAACCAGCTTGTTTTGTATTTCTAGAGTCAATAACTTTTCCAATCAGGGCATGAGGCGGGGTAGAAGTGATTTGTTTGGATGCCTGGTCAAAGGTTAGAGAATTTAGGTTAGAGAGGTTAACCCCTTCCTGGAAAACAGTTCTAGAGGCACTTTGAATCAGGGTTATCGCTAGCAAAAGGCAGAGGAACAGTCATGAAAACCCATCAACAAAACTCCAGCATAGAAGAGTGTTCCCATTGCAAGAAAAATGGGTATTATCTCACCAAACTTCTTTAGCTACACAAAAATAAAGGAATATCTACACAAGATAAGTAACATTTCCAAGTCTTTCGTGTAAATACCTGAGTAAGAAGTTGCACCCCACCGAGTAGGTGCATGATGGACAATAGCATGGGAGTTGTCATGATCTACACGGTCTTCTGTGCTTTTCTCACAATAGCGGAATGGTACATGTGGCTCAGGCCACGAGAAAAATGCACAGTGTACAGACACTTTATATGTGTGACTCACTGGTTGATTTTTTCCCTGCTTGTATCCAGAAATGGATCGACGGGCTGATGCAGAAGCCAACCAAAAAGAGCCGATTCCTGCATGCCATCAGCCAGCACAGCTACAAGATTATGAGCGATGAGAAGGTTGGTTACCCACGTCCATTAGGAAATTCATTGCTACTGGCGTCATGTCAGTGATGCTGTGGTTCTTTCCTCGGCTTTTGACTTTGAGGACCACAGTTCAGTTTCGATTCCTCCCTTGAAAGAAATGATTTCTCTTATTCTATATCCAGTTGTGTAGGTTCTATTCCAAATGTTGTACTGGAAAGTGGAAATTGATTTTGCTTGACTCTGTTTCTTTCAAAGTTTGATGAGAGTGAGAGTGAGAAACTCTTAGGCCGTGTCCAAAACAGGCTTCCAGAGCTACGGCTGGGTCTACTGTCTTAGCGTCTCCATGCTTTTCCATTGGATCGAAGACCTAGACCTAGCTCTAGACAACAGATTAGGACGCAGCCTAAGCCTTTTTGCAGGAAACAGGAATGTCATTCCATCAGCGTATGTCTTTTCAGAACTGAGTCAGATTCTCAGTACATTATATACCCCAGAAAAGTACTAGAAGGGGCGGAGCTCAAGAGGAGCCAAGGGAGTGCAGACCTCCTCCACCCTGTTGGTTCATAGTTTCAGTTATCTGTGTATATGTAGCATTATGTGCAGGAGGTAAATTCTGGCAGAAACTACCTACATTTGCAGAGTGTGTAGGGCTAAAAACTGGTAGAAAATTCCTGCATTTAAATATAACCTCCAGCAGCTACCCCTGACCTTCAAGGTCTAGTTCTATCTGCCCCGAGCTGAAGTGCACCCCCAATCGGCGGAAAGAAAGACAGGTGGTTACAAGCACGTTCTTGCACGTGTTCTGCGTGTACGCAAAGACCATACATGCCAGAATAAATTAGTTTCACGTACTCAGCGTGCTTTGCGTCAAACTTGCATGCTTCATGGTGCGCCTATGCGGTGAGTACCAAAAAATCCGCCCTCTTTTGTTCCGCCCGTAGTGGATTACGCAGAAACTTTATGAATTGGCATGGTTAGTTTTGGGATTCCAAAACAATGATTTCCTATGATGTCATTTGGCTGACCCACTGGCAATACTTTCAAACTATGAATGAGTCTTGCTTCAGAATTTTGACTTGACTTTTGAGTAACCATCGTGATTTTCGTCTCAATCCTGCAGCTGAAGGTAGAATTTTTCTGCATCGACAGCACGGGCTGGAACTGCTGCGATGCCCTGGCCGTCACCCTCGCCATAGACCCGTCCATAATCACCGACGCCAAGCTCTGCCCCTGCTCCGTGTCACTGGAGGGCGTGACCCGCGGCCAGATGATCGTGGATTGGCACTCCGTTTGGGCCGACAAGAGGAAGCGGACGGTGGTCCAGAGTGTGAACATGGACAGGTACAAGGAACTGCTGGCCAGCTGTGTAGAATGAGGGTAAGGAATTCTGTGGAGCTATGTGAAACCACTGATAACGTGCGCTGACTGGCTAGTGCATCAAGACCAAAGGCTCGAAGCCTTCGTAAAGTGCGACCATGTTTAGGCTACAAAGATGACTCCTAGTGGCTTCAAACCTTTGGTCTAGGCACCATCTTTGGTGGCCCGAACTCGGTCAAACACTCAATAGACCCTCTGTGGGAGACTCAACATCTCTGTCACAGTGAGTGTTGTGTCATGGCTCTTACAAGGCCATTTTTTGACGGGGGGGGGGGGTTGGGATGAAAAAGTTTGCACAAATTAGTTGGCTATGGTTCCATGCTCTTTGACACTCTGCTCGATGAACCAATGGGTAAGTCTCATGAATCAAAGTATTCAACTTTTTATAACTCAAATATTTTAACGACGTCTGAAAAAGTGTACGGGTTTATTATGTAATTTTTGATAATTTCTCTGAAAATATTCTCAATATATTCTATTATTGGTATTTGATTATTCATGCACTGTTTGGTATATAAATCCATAAACTTACGTCTGGCAAATTTCAAAATTAAATCACTGAATGTAAACTACTTGAAATCATTTTTGACTGACACCTAAATACGACTCACGTGTAAAAACCCACTGATGGATATTTCTACTAGGCAGTTTTCTTGCCACAAACTATATTTGGAGGTAAAATTAAATGCAAAGACATAACATTAATGCATTTAGTATTACAATAGGGCTCCATTTATTTTTTATTTTATTGGCAAGGAGTTAAAGTTTTGTTTTTGAAACAGAACTCCACAAAACTGCATTGTCCACCAAGCTGAAATTTCAGTCGTAGTAATTTTTGCCCAGTCTGTGGTAAATCATTCTTGTCTCTGTATGTTTTCTTTCTGCTTTTCACCGTTAAATATGAGTCAAATTGGTCAGTTAAATATGAAGTAAATTTCAAAATATATGGAGGGCCTGACGTTTCGATCCTAGCAGAATCTTTCTCAAAAGCCTTTGACAGAGATTCTGCCAGGATCGAAACGTCAAGCCCTCCATATTTTGGGATTTGTATTTTAGGTCATTGTAGTCAGCAAGCAATTTGCAGAAGTTTTGTATTACATATCATGAATTAAATTTGTTAAAGTTAACCATTCACATTCACTGATTACTTCCTCCGAGAAACGGAAAGTTCATTCGGAGTGTACTGCAGTATATAGCCCCAGCGTAAGGGTGTATACAGAACCACATTATTCGGAGGGGGGCCAACGAATATGGAATTCTTTTATGAAACTTTTTATCGCCTTTCTGAGGGGTTAGACTACATTTTGGGGGGTTCTTACATACTTTAAAGGAAGAGAAATGAAGTAGACCCAACAGATCACCTTAATTATATTTCCAAACGTATATTTTTCTCCTCTTCTGAGGGGCATGTCCCTGCCCCCACTCTGCTCTCTTCTCGGCAGAGGTAACAAATCGCAAATTCATAGCAAAAAACAAGGTTTTAAAATTTGCAAAACAGAAACTGTGCAAATGTACCCTTTTCATTTCCAAAAAAAACCTCCAGTCACCACACGAAGACGTAAAGTTTTAGTATTAGCTTTCGGAAATATAAACAATCAAAATCTGAAGAGCCTGAAATTGGGCTATCAGTGTGCCGACAGACATGGCGCCTGGCTAAAAGAGGCTTATGATTGGTCTTGCAGCCGGTACCAGATCACGTGTTCTTGACGGAGGCTAAAAGGCAGGTCCTTGCCACCGGACGCACCATCGCTTTCAACTGGAGTGGAAGCAAAAAGATTCCGATTACGCTAAATTCAAAGTTAAATGTAGGTCTATGTGATTGAAGGAGGGCCCCTCTTTTTTTTAAAGTGACGTGTGGATTATGGACGGACATGAAATAATTAAATACTCTCGTTAATCTTTTCAAAGTCATGACATCACTGACAAATCGGCATATACATGAAGTCGTTCGTGCTTCAGAGAGAATGTGATTGTATTTGTTTCTCAAAGCAGAGACGAAGTTTAGAGACGATTCAAAAATTGTTCAGGCCTCTTTGCGGTGGCGAGGATGTAGAGTTACCTCTCGAAGACGAAGAAGAAAACAATTATATAGAATGAAGTGTCTTGGGCTGAAGTATCAGTGGATTGTTACTGATTTCTGGGTTTCGAACCTCGCACCCCTGCGTTGCAAGTCAATGAGAGTCATCACTCACCGTATCCCTCCTTCCATGGCTCGACAGAAGGCTGGGGAATAGTCGCTGTATCACTGCATGACACCCGTCCATTGAAGAAGCCCGGCATTGCCCCGTTAGAATTGGGGAAGTCATTAGCCTTGCTGTACTCGTAAAACGAATTGGTGCTGCCAAAGGAAACATCGGTATAAAATCAACAACTTTCACCGACAGGTATTAAACCTTTTAGCCTCTCGGCTAGACGGTGGAAGTGGCGGTCTTGCTTCTTAAAACTCCTTTTGAGCTCATTTATTAACAGATTCTGCTCAGGTTTCAGTGATATCGTGGATAGTTTCAAAGGTATCTCTGGTTGGTATAATAGCTCTGGTTGCCTAGGCTGCGTCCAGTTGGTTTGCTACAGCTGGAGCTAGAAAGTCTCTACGACTAGAAAGCCCTGTGAAGCCTCTAGCCGACAGCTTCCAGACGTGCCTTAGTCAAGAAATTGTGATACGGCCCATGCTTCCATAACATCGAACTGAAAAGTTTCCAAATGCATGAAGTACTCTTCGAGAGCCAAATCCTAAATGAAATCCGTCTTGTGCTGGCATAATAAACTAGCGAGCATGCAAGGTTCTGTCACTGTTAATAATGAGATTAGGTGAATGAAGCCCTAATTAGAGTTTTAGGCACTATTCTACTTACGAATCTGATGGTACTGTGCCCACGTCTGGTTCCATGTATACGTACGGCTGAATCGTTGGTAAATCGTTCATGTTGTCGCAGAACAGGCGGGCAAAGGTTGCCTTGCGAATTTCAGTGAGCTGATCTGAAAGGCAACATGAAATGATTGCTGCACAAGACGTACCGTTATTGTCGAGTCCTTTTTTTTTATGTTAACTGGGCTTATTCACCCACCCATTTACTTTTGTTAATTTCTCATCAACTGGAAACTACATTTTAAATTTTAAAAGCATTTTCTTACCTTTGGTAAAAGCTTGATCCCCAACTCCGTCCTCGTACCAGAACCGATCGCCAAACTTGAGGGCGTGGAATTGCTCTCCCACTAGGCAAGCTAAGGTGGGTCCCATCAGCTGGCCGTCTCCCGTCTCCTCGCCGATCAGGGCAGGGAACAGGTCAATGTCATCAACGTCACTGCGAGACAAGACCAACACCTATTATCATTCCCCTCCAAAAACCGCCGTTAACATACGACACTTTCACAGTAAAGTACCTCCCCCGACCCCTTGCGCCACTGAAGTCCGCTCAACCTGTTTCCCTTTTTCTTCCTTTTATGCCTATGCCCTGCCTTGCTGTTGAAGCTTTGACCTTTAGGTCCTTAATGAGGTTCGCATTACAATGTATTACCCGCGGGCTTCTTCCTCGGGCATTTCGCTGTGAAACTGAGCCGTGAATTTGAAATGTTCATCAAGTCACAGTCAACAGTTGAACCATGAACTGTCCACTGTGAATTTGAGATAACATTCCCTTCGTATTCACACGAAGCATTCTAGGAACCGGCCGCGGCCGATTTTTGCTTCACACTGCATGTACCTGACTTTACATGGCCATCTCTATTTGCGGCTCCTCGAACGGCTAAGTGGAGAAATGAACTAAAGCGAGGCACCTGGGACACCAAGACAGACTAGGCACCAACTCACTCGTAAGCGTCCCTGAACTTCTGGACGGTGGTTTCCGTCATGTGATCCTTCAGATCATCAAAGCTTGACGCCCGAGGCAAGCCACAGTGCACACGCCAGTCGTTGTACGCTGCTATGCCGTGATCTCTGCCCCGCTGGATATTGAGTGCCGCCAGGTCAAGGCCTTCCCTGTGACAGAAACAGGTTTTGCATGCACAGAGCCATATTATGCCAAGGACCTATGATACATTTTGGGGCCTAAAATACCACAATGTATGCACCATAAAAACACGCAGCTTACACTCTCAACCTGAACAACCGAACTCACATAAGATAGCTTTCTTAAAGTTTTTAGTGTCTCCTTTTGATTAATTTTTGTCAATTTAGGGAAAGATTTCAACTAGATTGCACATGTGGCTTACAATACAATGTATATCATAACAATGGTGCTGGTGTACTGTGGAGTCCGACGTCTGCCCCGTGGGAGCGGGGCGGGCGTCGGACCCCACAGTTCTGGGGGTAGTGCTGGTGCTCCTTGCAGAGTATAGGGCCCAAGGAGTACCGACGGTAAGGGCTATACGAAGCACGTGCAACCCTATTCCTGAGCTTTATCACGTTAATCACATGTATTCCACTGCTTGGGGTGGAAAACGTTGTCCTAATGATTCAAGGCATTGATATAGCTATATGTGTTCTCGCACTTGTCATCACACGCGAGATATTAATGATAGAGTACACCGCCAACGGCCTCTTGAAAAGCTCGGTTATGGCTAATGAGGGCAGGCAGACGAAATTAAAAATTGTTTGAAAACTGTGATGTTTACACAAAACATAGGCCTATATTACCCGCCAGGGGGATCTGCAAACATGTGCTTGGTCAAGTGGTTAGTCATGCTTAGGTCCACTTTGGGCACTGCCTGAGCCACCATGCCTCGTATGAAGGCCTCCAAGCCTCCCTGACCGTGAGAGGTGTTCATGTAAGTGGCGTTAAAGAAAGCCTCGCTGAGTGACACCTGCTCCATCTAAAGGAGAAGGATAAGACAAAGGGCTCGATTATAGGTACAAACAGCACAAATGTGATACAGGGCTTTCGAAAGAAAAACTTCGAGGGCCTTCGAGCAAACTTCAAGGACCTAGATAAAACACTTTCTTAAAATGTTTATAGTGTTTCTCTTTATTCGCGTTTGGAACACTGAATTCAAACTAGATATAGCGTGCAGCTATGGAGGTTTTTCATGTCGGTGGAGGCGCGTGCAAGGTTTTGAATCTGTGTATTTCTATATTGGCCGGCAGTTCCATGCACGCCAGAATATTGAGAGTCTTCAAAGGCGCTAGCGCTTCCCAGCACAAAAAAATCTTGTGACTGAAAATCTTAGAATCAACATGAAATGAGAGGCTTCGAATCCAGTTGCGTACTTTTTTTAGGAACTGAAAGCGGTAACACTTACGAAACGGCAATGTTTAAAGGATTTAACTTAGTTTACATGATGGCTGAAATTGTCTGTTCTTTCAATTTAAACTCACCACATTATGGTCCCGGTCCAATTTCAACAGTGTGGAAGGCACCTGCGTGTGTCCAACACGGTAAGCCGCTGCCGCAAAGACGTTGAAGACGCCGGGGTTGAGGTAAGGGTCATATCCGTAGAAAAAGGTGTCCGGGTGAACTCGGAGACCGTGCTTAGCCATCTTGATAGCAAAAGAAAATCAAGACGCTTTAATAAACAGGGATTGGCATTTCTGGAGCCTCGACCATTTCAAATAGATTCCGATTACAAGCCTTGCCAATGAGAGGCAGAGTTTGCTGAAAATGGTAGTTTTGGTTATACAATTGATTGTCTAGTTTCGTAATTCAGAAAAAAGGGCTTCATTTTCAGACAGATAAAATTCCTAGGCACTCGATTCTTACTTCTCTGAAAAAGTTTATTTGAAGATCTTGCAGAAAACCAGTTTTGCTTACAGAACTGCTGCTGTAAATTAAGACGATCGGTGACGATAGTTTTTCGCTGATAGCAGCTTACAACAGTAGCACGTGCGTGCTCTGCGCGACGTTGCGTTTGTCGCTCTTTAAACGATCATCGCGGTAACTTTGTTCAAACCAAAATCCGTTCTGCTATCGGAAATCATCAGCTATCCAACCGTAGAAATATGAGTTCTGTACATTTTCAAATGTGTATTGGATACAAACTGAATGCAAGATTATGTTACAATGCGCACTTTCAGCATTGGTATGGCGCACGTCCTTCTGTGTCGGAAAAACAAGACCTACGGTACAGATGGCGTGGTTGGCGGAACCGGGCAAAATACCTAACCACCAAAAAAAGCTCGCTAGCATTCGTCTTTCAAATGACTGTCCAAACTTGTTATGTATCATACGTAGCTGGATAATTTTCGAATATTTCTGGATGAAGTTTTCGAGTCGCCAGCGACCTTGGACTGTTTCTGTTTATGGAACCGGTCAATCGACTGTGTATTTTATTTCATCTCATTCGTTTCTTTCTACCAAGGAGTAAAACCGGGTATAGGCATTAGCGAGGGTGCAACCTGCGATGAACTAGCATTCCACCTAAAGATGATGAAAAATATCAATTTTTCATGTCAAGGAACACAGATCCGATCGGCAGTGGAAAGATACACCAAGTAAGTCAAACCTCACTGAGGAAGTTTCCGTAGAGGAAGGCACGCTTACATTCTGGGATCCCATAAGAGGGGGTAGATATTCATTATAAACCACGTGTTGCCACATGGCGATGCAGATTCTCCGTGCCTCGTTGTAGTACGTCTCGTCGTCCCAGTCAGGGTTCAACTCCGAGAGTCTCTTAGCGATGCGGTTGTGCTGCCGCAGCAGTATGGTGTGGATGCTGGTCAGGCCCGGCTGCTCGGCCGCTCGCACGTCCCCGGCAAGGCCGCATTTCAACTGCAGAGGACAAAATAGCAGCGTATCCATGGTTGTGATAATTCCTCGTGAGCTAACATTGGTGCAAGACTGGTATATAACGTACATCAATGCCGTCTCTAACTGAATTTAGGGTCGTCTGTGTTGGGGTGAGAATGACCATTGCCTAGACATTAAGGTTTGGACTGGGAACCCCCACATTTGAATGTAAATATCATCGATAAGGACCCGGTGTGTAGACGATGTATGAATCGTATACCTACGATTCTGGAGATTTTTGTCAAGATTAAAAAGGAAACAAAGTCACAGCACATTGTTGATGCTTCTTTTAGTTTCCTTTCATGGCCGGTCAAGTTATCATGCATGATCAGCGATGTGAATTTGTCTGCGCATGCACACAGATTTGGCACCGATATTAGCACGCAATAACTCAATGCAGTATCATCGTTACAAATACGATAGGCCTATGTACACTGATTGGACATTTAGTACATAAATCTAACCAATGGGTTAGCGAAGACACAGTCTGTGTGTTCCTCATCGTTTGGTAGTAGTTCTTTCCCGACACTGTTACTTGGGTCGTCCATGGCTAACAGCAGACCTTTGCCTGCATGAAAGATCGACAACAAAATCCTACTTCTCAAGATCACTCATCATAATTACCACGCGAAGCATAAACATAACATGTAAATAACAATAGTAACTGGAAATTTAAAATGGGCTGTTTCCAAGTGCAACTAGGGAACTATATATTTCAGGAATGAATGAATGTCACCGCGGTAGTACCCAAACCGCAGTGTAGGGATACTGTCCCTCCAACAGGGAGAATAATTTTACCTAGACCTAACCCTGCTGGCATCATTGATGTCTCGATCTCATAGACACTTCTTACCAGGGTTAAGTAGGCATACCTTTGTTTAAGAAAACGAAGACAGAAAGACGACGAAGCCTTCCTTGCCTGAATACTTTCAACCGATCAGTACGCACCTTGGCTCACATCTCTCATCTCCATCGCTTTCTCCAGAGTTGAGCCGTAGACTTGGGACAAATCTATGAAGGACGTGATCTGATTCACCTGCTGACGGGGGACGATGTTGCAGTTCGCATCGGGAACGGGGACGGAGCGGGCGAACCTGAGGCAGGGCTGCTCGAAAAACGGGTCATCCTCCGGTATAGCGATCGGTAAGCACTTGTCAGTGGTCTCGCAAGTACAGTTAACTGGAGGGGTATGACGAAAAGGTCAGATCACATCAAAATCAGTTTTTGTTTAGGAAGAAAATGTCAGTAAAAGTCTACGTAAGTATGGATGTTGTAATGATCTGGACATGCACAGTGCATCATTTTTATTAGTACCATCGATGACTAATTTTTCCCTTGCTTTCTTAAAGCTGACCGTCAGTTACCTTTCTGAAGGGCCGCGTGGTCTATGTCGTGGTCCAGAAACTGCCCCAGGTGCATTATTAGGACCGTCCAGGGTTCGGCTTTCACATTATTCTCGTTTTCGATTAGCTTCATGCTGACGTCACGAGCGCCTGGGAGTGGATTTCCAGACTTCGCAAGCCTCAGAGCGGCCGAATCTGTTCAAGGAAACAAAAGTTGATCACGCATGCGCACAGCAGTAATTCTTGATAATCTAAGGGCAACATATTTGAAGCAACACCCTCTTAAGGATAACATTACCACAGGTACCTTTGTCAGAATGTGTGTTGATTATCTTAGCTGATAAATGAACGTTATTGAGTAAATCCTGTAGAGTTAAACTTTCGGTGTCTATCACCTATTGTCAAGTGTATAGGTTTTCCGAGACTACGGCTGCATCCGAATCTCTTGTCTAGAGCTAGGTCTAGGTCTTCACTCCATTAGAAATGCGCGGAGACGCGTAGACAATAGACCTAGCCGTAGCTCTGGAAGCCCGTTTTGGACACGGCCTACGCTTGAGACACCGCGTAACTTCAAGTTCTTTTCAAATGAATCCTGACTCCTAGAGTTGACTATCAAGTTAGTTACCGTTGGCATATGCAGCCGGAAGAATGCGCACAAAAGGACTGAACGCCTTTCCCCAGTTCACATTGATGAGATTGTTGCATGTGCCATCGATGGTGCGGTACTTGGTTGAAGAAGGGCAGTCGTCCGTAGTGAGTTCATAGCCAGCGGCTTCGCATAGCTGTCGCTTCCCCTCGGGGGACAGCTCGGAAAAGACTCTGGGAGAAAAAGGTTTCAGTAATAATCTGCTTTTCTTCATTCAAAAACAAAATTCCAACATGATTCTATTTTAAAGTTTAAAAGTCGCGAAATTTACAAAATAATAAAAAGATTTTCAAAATTTTCTATACACTTTCCAAAATGTTCTAAATAATTTTGTTCACCGGCCGCGACCTGCTAATGACCAAATTCAGAACAATCAAAATGTGTGATAACAATTGCAAAACAAGTACAATGACATCATAATTACATTTAGTTTGAAATTCCACATTTAAGTAAGCAGAATGACCTGAGTAATTCATCAGAAGACTCGAAATCTATTTGAAGGCTTCAACGACCCGGGTCTCAAATTGTAACAGCTGATTTGGAAGTGGATCGAATCTTTATGAAGAGTGGGCATACTTTGTGTATTGAGTTGGGCGCTCACACTTAAAGCTTACTGAAAAATATCCTATTATAATTCCATTTTTCTCGCTCTAGCTTTTGGATTACTGACCAGTACATATGTTAATGCTTAACCCTAACTCCCTAGGGTGTATGTAAAATCATATTGTAATCGGAGGATTTGGGATTGTTAGGGTTAATAAATAACCCCAGACCCGAAGCTAAACCGAAGGTAAAGCCAACGTGCTCGACTGGTTTCTTTGAAGACGCCGAGGGTGTGTTCGAGCGAGATATACTCGTGTTAACGTGAATATAATCTTGAGCGCTCGAACGGCTGGAGTACGACGTGGACCTGAGTGTAATGCGCAGGCATCCTACTCGTGTTGACAGCAGAAGACCTCTCAAAGATGCTGATTCATTGATAATAATTGCACAAAACACAACTGAACTTTGTAAACAATTTTAACATTTGACATTTTAAACATTTGCTTCATTTCTTAAGCGCCTTATTTCTATTAACAATATTCAATAGCGCGCTATAAATATCAAAATAGCAGAAATAATATAACACAGTAATAACTATATAAAAACTACAATTAAAATTATAATTAAAAGTTACGAGACAACATGAATAACAAAACATAAAATTATATGAATAACACCTTGTTTATTGTAACATTTATAAAAAGGGGTACGACTTTACTGCACGCTGTAACTCGTTTTCATTCGTAACATCTCGTCAAGATCTTCAGTAAACCCTCTTCGGAAAACCCTCTGAAATTATTATAGCTATTATAATTTCAGGTGCGAGAAGAATTTTTTGGAGAGCAAATTAAAAACTTGAAAAATTTCGTTCGTTTGAAGCACACGAGGGCGCAAGAAATCAGTAGGGTTCCGTTGCGTATTTGAGCTAACAAATTTCGCGATACGTTACGTATATACGTAGCGAAACATACCCATGCACCCCAGATAGCTCGCAATTCACCTCGCGTTCAGCCCGCGATTGAGCGTAGTACAAGTGGTGCATAGTACCCTGAAGTACATTCCTATTGAACTGTATATGGTTGGAAAGGAGTCCTGTTAATTTCGAAAAGCAAAGACTGTTTTCTTTAGTCCTTTTAGACCAGAAAGTAATGGCAGTAATAACTTTAAAGGGTTTTTCGAAGACGAAAGTGAAAAAAGTGCAGAAGCTGGGAGAAACTGACGTTGAAATTCAGGCCTTGTACATTTTCAATGGGTCGCTCAAGCTGTTTGCCTCCACATGCCATGCGCACATAAATTATATTTTATTAATGAAAAGGTCTATTATTTTCAAATATTATTAGATGGTCTTCAAGTACCTGTGAAATCAAGAACTCGACACGACTCAAGCGCACACTTGTGGTTCGATTTCTACTGGACCGACCATCTCGACCATCCGATGATTCGACTCGATTCGAGTAACTTCTTTAAAATTGCTCAACTCGACTCCAGTTACAACATTCGGTGACTCGTGAAAAAAATGTAAAAAAAGAGGGTCGAATACTTACCTTCTGTAAATTCCGCTTACGTTCTGCAACGCACGCGCAGCATTCGCGAGTAGTTTTGACTGCGCGTGCGTAAATCCGAAGTGATGGAGCAGGTCGTGGGGGTCACGTCTTGTTCTCTCTTTCGGACGGCCCTCTTGGATCGAGAAAAGGATCAGAAGGATAAGAACTACAAATATTTTCAAGCAGAATCCTGAAAATGTTGATTGTTAGCCATCAAATGTTATGATCACTTTCCGAGTATGCAGTGTTCCAAATCACTGTAGAGAACGAGTCGCTTCCCTACAAATTCCAATAATATTGCTGAACATTACTGTGCAGTGCGGTCGTTGGCTCAGTTTTACTCTTTCGATAATTGAATTTTCCAAACTAAAACAAGTGTCACCATTTTTTAGCAATATCAATTAAACCATCAATATTCACAGCAAAGAGGCTCCAATCAAAATTGCTGACACAAATAAAAAGTCTTAGTCATGGAGGCAACACTTTCAAGCAAAGAAGCCTAATAGCAAATGTTCAATATACAATGAATGATTTTCTTGCTGTTATTAATTCGTAATAATTTACAAACACGCGGCAGGTTCACCAGTGATATATCCAGCGAGACGGATGAAACCTAGCTCCCCAGCAATGTTTTACCCTTTTTAAGAACTAATTGAGCTTACATTTGACGCCCGACATCATCAGACATCATTACAATCTTGAAAGCCAAACGCAGAACCCTTTCCAATATTTTTGTAGACGAAAAACTTTGTAGGCAATTTTTTTTCGAATACGTTCTCCATCTTTGATTGTGTGCCACAGAGACCAGAAAAAGAGCTTCAATTCTTTTCAAAGGTGTTAAATATTGCTCACCTGCTGTCGTTGCTAATTCTTGTTCAGCAAACCATTTCTTTGCACTGGCGATTTGTTTCTCCAGCTCGTTTAAGAGCTCGACGTCACCAGCAGCGTCGAAGTCAAGCTCCGTGGTATCGCCCACCGAGTAGGCGTCCTCTCGGCCGGTGTGAAATGCCAGTGCGATGCACGCCAACCACGCCACGGAGATTACAAAAACCCTGAACAGAGACGTGAACGCCGTAAGAAAATGCGAACAATTCTCCGGGATGCCCGGCATTTGTCAATGTGCGGGAAATTGTTGAGTGATAGAATGCCGTATCAGACTTTGGACGTTAATGCTTCGTGCCAAACACGCGCGGCTGGTAAACTTGTGGATGCTTATAGTCAGGATACAATACAGAGGGTAGCATGTTTGTTCGTCGATGTTAAAATTCGGCATGCATACATTTTCTTCTTCACGCTCAGAAAAAACACGCTGTTCAGCTTGAGCTAGCGGAAGGAATTGGTGGTATTCGGACACTTCTTTGTTGGTTGGTTACAAACGCAGCCAGAATTTGTGAACATTTCTCAGGGTAAGGCCCAATCCAAAGATAATACTACAGTTATGTCCTGAGAATATCTCAGTATACAACAACAAAAAACTGGAAAAAGTAGACGCCATCAATACAGTGGAGAAAAAAAAAAGTACGAATGATTTTTTACCTGTTAACCGATTGAATCCTCATGGTGAAATGTGCAGTTTTAGCCCACACTTTTACCCACCGATGAAGTCAGTCTCTGTCGTAATGCACCAAGTCTCGCTCCGTTCACCAAGACAGAAGAGTAGCCTAAGCTTAGCACGACTCTGAATTTTATAGCCACTCATCGCGTTGCACGATCCATTACCCACGTGGGTAAAATTGGACATGACCATATGGTTCTCAAGGAAACAGTTGTTGACAGTTGAAGGAAAAAAACCCCACATCATTAGTATGTACCAAAACGGGACTTTTTTCGTTTCACACAAACACGAGGTGACCGGGCGATATCGATTCCAGTTTTGTAAGATTACATAATTTAGGCGCATCTTCTTGGTCTCATCTACAAAAGACGTTCAGTCGTATACGCGAGGGGATTTAAGTTGTGTGCTGTTTAGAGAATTGAGTAATTTTCGTTTTCACGAACTGGTACCCGGTATGGTGCGGCACTTGCCGAGCTGCATTGAGTGCTACGTGTTTTCACGAACTGGTACCCGGTATGGGGCGGCACTTGCCGACGCTGCACCGAGTACTACGTGTTTTCACGAACTGTTTCCGGTCTTTATTCCGCTGGTTAATTAAAACAAATTTTAAGTAAATTTCGGGGTAAGGTAGCAAGTCTATGTCAAACATTTCAAAGCATTTTTCTCCGCGCTTAGTTTCCGTAACAAGCTACTGGGCGTCATATCGTGGCGTCATATCGTCATATTCGGCTTCAGCGTCCGATGTGCACGCGCACTGCCGGCTGCCGGTTCGTGAAACCGAAATCGTTGATTAGCGCAGTTTTCACACACTGACACCCACTTCCAACTGAAGACAATCGAAGTCCAATAAAGAGGAGATCTTGAAACTTGTCCCTTCAATAACTTGTCCCTTCACTAAGTTCCTGGATATCTAACAAGTTGTTTTCAACCATTTTCATGACACTATGGCGAACAGAGGTGATCTCAAGTCTGAAGCAATAGCTGCATTTGATATGCCGCCAGAGGGTGCCCTTTTATGTTATAACGTCAGCTATGCACTCTTTTAACATCAAATATTAAAGACTTTTTGATAATTTTTTTTGGTAATTTGGTTGCGTGTAAGATATCCTTTCGTTTTGGAGTTATAATCCCTTATCAGTGCACTTCCAGTTACCCTGGAAGTCAAGGTCACAGGACTTTCCGTTGCATCTAGTAATGCTGCCAAAAATTGCTCAATCTAATCTGATCCGATTCGATCCGTTGGACTCCCTGGCTCAGTCAAACAATTCACCGCATTTTTTGCGATGGCAAACAGGTTCAAATTCACCGCAGTTGAAACAAATTGAAAACGAAATCGTCTTTTATTGGCTTTTTCCGGATTACTGGAGAGATGATTAATCCGATCCTTTCCTGCATATCTTACCGTATCAATCTGAATCCGACTTATTAACCACATTCAATCTGATCCGAGGTCGGACTAGGATTTGACTAGGATGCGGATTAGTGCACATCTTTAGTACCAAATAATCACGGGTGTGAGCTCCGACACGATTTTTTTTTTACACGCTAGGGAAACTCAATTTGGATAAAGGCTGAAATCGGGGTTCTGGCGGGTTTGTATTTCAAAGGCAAGTCCGACATTGACGGGGTATAGGAAACTTCCACGAGGCTGTAAAACTAGTCTCCTCTCCAAAGAACCAATTTTTCCATAGGAAGTTACATGGAGTATACCCATGTGTGTAATAATATTTTAAAAATGCGGCCCGGACTGGACATTGTGTAGAGTCCAGGGAAAAACTCGTATGAGAGTTGACAGCGACCAGCTGAATCTAAAATATAATTATTAATAGTGCGCCTCCAAGAGTTTGCCACTCGTTGACCAATCAAAGTGGGCGAAATCTGCCGACCCTTTCCTTTCCAAACACACATTGAGTCGACAGATTTCGCGCATTGTGATTGGACAACGCACTGCAAACTCTTAGAGGCGCTCTTTTGTGAAACGCCCATATTCCTGCGATGTAAAAATGGAAAAGGTGTGGAAAGTTGTAAATAATTTTACAGTCTAACAGCAACCCTTAAAAACGATGTCGCATTCCTCGGGGGGGGGGATTTCTCATCCGCAACAACAGATAAACCATGAACAGTCATATAAGGCAGTGTTCGATTTTGTTTTGAGAGAATTTTTACTTTATTTTCATCCCCTTTCATTGTGTCATTTCTTTCGTAATTTTCTTTGTTTCGTTTCTTGTAGAGAATTTGAGTGCAGGTTGTGATTTGGCTGGCGCGAGCACTGAATTTTCGGCCTAATTACTGGCCTGCACCCCAGCGCGCCCTCCCTTTGCATGCGGATATCCACATACGTGTACATGAACATCACTTGAGACTTTCAAATAATTCAGTATTGACGCATTAATTTCTCAATTTCACTCATTTCTGATATTTCCTCAGTTATTATGAGTTAAACCCTCACCCTCCAGGGTGTATATGGAATCATAATGAAATTGGAGGATTGAGGACTGTTAATTAGGGTTTAAAAAAACATCTTCGGCCTGGCCCAGCCCCCCCCCGCAAATAATCCTGGATCCGCCCCGTATTATCAAGGGAATAAAATGATGTATAAGCTTGGCAAAAGGAGAAGTATCATAACCGTCCTCTGCCTTCGACCCGGCCGGGCCGGGGAAGCACCCGATTCTGAATTCATAACGATCTTCAATCGGACTGTCAGTGGTACTAGGCCTAGAGTAAATAACGCAGAGGTGGGTGTCCGCATATCACAACCCACGCTACGCGATAGAAACGAGACGTGACAAGATTGTTGAGTTCAACTACTTCCGTTGAAATGAAGACGGTTGACCTAAATGACGTCACGTCATGATAACGAATACAATGGTTTGAAGGCCACGTCCCAAATTGCCTTTTCTTGTGGCTACGACTTAATTTTTTTTCACCCTGCAACATGACGGTGTACGCTCCAGTCCTCGTAGCCGCAGACAATGCCCATATTGGACAAGGCCTTATCAACTCACCCGATGTCAACAAACCGAACACGCTCCTTGCGCCGGATCAATAGTATTAATATTGCAGGCTACCCAGACTCACTTCCACGCATCACGAATAGTGCACATGTTTTTGAGATAGGTACCCGTCGGTGTGGGCTGATCACCAGCATAAATTCTGGCAATCAGCCTAGCTGGCGAAAGAGCATCGTTGATCCTGGTTCCTGACTGCTGTAATTTGATAATACTCACTTTCTACACTCCAGCTTTTAAGCAGAAGACGGTAAGACACATCTGTAAATTTCAGACATTTGCAATGGCGTAGCTATTCTATTTTGGCATGGGTCTTTATTAATTCAGGCTTTGGCCCAGATCATGTCAATGAAGAATTTGCTTGTTCCAAGACGTTGTTGAAATGCATGATCGGATTGCGCAATACATATACAATACTTGAAGGAAAGAGTTTACACATAGGCCTACGGACAACACCAATTTTCTCTTGAAATGTTATAACAGTCATCAGGAAGTGATAACATGTCCTAAAAAGTGAAATTTAGCAAAGAAAATTCCGAAGCATTTCCTACTTAGAAAACACTTTTTTCAGACATAGGCCTAGGCCTACTAGTACTACTTTACTAGACAAGGGGTACGCACACAGGGCTACCACTACCAGGTAGGGGCTAGACCCGTGAACAGGGCCCGGCGAATACTCCGCCGTGGTATACTGGGCCCTGTCCCGATTCATTGGGATTTCTTTCGAAAAGTTTTATCTGGGATACCTTGGGGCATAACTAAACATCTGCTTGATTTTTTGAGCTGAAATTGCACCGGCATGTTCACTACTTACGGTGTAAACTCTCGGCTACATGTAGGTTGCTAATTGTTGCCTTTTTTTGCCGTTTTACCACTCCATACAAATTTTTTCCTGACTTGTACATTACACAGACTCCTTTGTATGGTTAAGTAAGGGTACCCTGTACGAGAGCCTGTCTAGTTTGCACCCAGACTTCAGGACCAACGGATCTCATTCAGATCTGCGAGAGTACCTGTCGATCTAAGTACTTGTCGATCTAAGTACTTGTAGAAAACGACAGCTGTTTTGTGTCGCAGCTAATACGCAACGCCCTTGGCTGGTTTCCTGTCCACACACGCTGTTTTCGGCAAATTGTTGGTAGCGCAGCTCGCTCTCTGTGACGTGACATGAAAGCGACGAAACAGCCGTCAGTTTTGTGCAAGTGGGGCAAAATTTGTGCGGAGTGGGAAAACGGCAAAAAAAGGGCAACATTTTTTCCCTCCAATGAGGAAAAGGCAAGTTTTCTACAATTAGCAACCTAGCGGATAGTTGACACAGTAAGTAGTGAACATACCGGCAAAATTTAAGCTCATAAAATCAAGCGGATGTTTAGTTATGCCCCCGGATATCCCTATGAATCGGGACAGAGCCCACTATACGACGGAGGAGTATTCGTCGGGTGCTGTTTATGGGTCTAGGTAGGTGCAAACATGGCAATCATGGGACTTGTGCATGACTTAGCAGTGAAAACAACCCGAAGTGAATGCACTTTTTCCATGCGTGCATTTGTTTTTACCCCACCCTGACCCCACCGTGACCCCGAGGTCACGCAAAGTCCCGTTGGCAAATATGGAACTCTTTCCTTTATATTTTGGCATGTTCTTGAAATGGACCAAAATGCAACTCCACATGTCATTTTTCAAAATTTCTAAGAGTGATTAGCACCTTCAGTGTTATAAAAATTATTATTTGGGGATAATTAGGCATACTGTGTACATTTAGTGGACATTTTGTTGGCTACCAGTGTAAATCAAATGGAGTTGAATTCATTGAAAGTTTCACGTCAAAGTACATGTATTTGCACCAGAGGACTTGATTTGAAAGCCTCTCTCAACAATGAGAATTCAGTATACTTTTTAATTGATGTATTTAAAGCACCTGAGAAATAACTTAAAAAGAATATCAGCCATGAAAACAAAGAGCACAAAATTGACGAAAAATGATGAGAAAAGTTTGGTTCTCTTCATTCTCTTACCATTTATAATCACTCTCACTATACCCATGATACCAGTATATCTGCCAGGTCTTATACCTTTCAACCACCGAAAATAACCTTTAAGTTTGGCTGCATCAGTGTAATGAGTTCAATGTGTTCATTGCAAACGTCATATTTGACAGAATTATGACGTTCGAGAATTTTGACAAAAAATGCATGACGTTCGAAAATGCCAAAAACGCTGTCACATGTAGTGCTTGAAATTCCTTGTGCGATGTTCATGTTGCCATTTATATGTATTTTTTAGATATCCCCGCTGAAAATTACATGTGTACTTTAAAATTAACAACTCTGAGCATTAGATTTTCATCATGAATCGTATTTTATGTCTCGGATGTTTTTTTTAGAAAATCTTTCAGTATGACCGATTTTCTTTCGAGAAAGCTTGGTACGAAGAGAAAAATTGCGGCGAGGAGGGGCTCATGAATATCAAATGAAAAAGAGGGTGCACTGTCTGAGTTGATGTCAAAGGTCAAACAGACCACGATGCAGCGAAAGGTTTCTCTAACGTCACCGTGAGATAATGACGGAAGCCACAAAATTGCCACGATCAGTATTTTGGACTGCAGTTTCGGAAACATACTTGAAGAAAATGTGATCGGTCCAGTCGTAAAAGGGCGATGGGTGGGGGTGCTTTTTTGCACTTCTTTTAAAGCTTGTGTTGTATATCGATTTTGATTTTACTCGCCGTTTTTTTGCAGTCGATTTTTTTTTTACAGAACCGAATGATGTTTGTAACTGCTGACTTGGGGACCCGATTAATTGCTAGAGGCAGTTTTTAATTTTGTGATTGTGGTTTTAATATGACAACATATTATCACCTTTCACCACATATAAATCTGTGTAAAATCACCCCGGGGATTAACACTCATCGGTAAATTTTATTTGGCTAGGATTTCAACAGGTTGTCCATGTCTGTCAAAAATGCTGACGTTCAAGACTTTAATTAATTAACTCCAAGTAAGTTGAAAGATGGACATGGCCATCATTTTTCCAGATATCAGCCATGACTTCCTTCATTTCATCAAACATTGGGAATAAATTCACTGCCGTTCTCGCCATAGGAAAAATGAACTCCCAAAGTTGAACATTATCTGATGGTCCATATTTTGAGGAACTTTCCTTTTATACTGGAGGGAGGTCAAAGTTGGTACCATCCAACTTGGAGCAAGAGTTCCATTCCTGGACATCATTTGAAACCTTGATCCTTGTCGTGCTTGTGCTCTGAATGCTTTATTATTATGCCATGTTGGCCTGTTTAATTTGACTTTAGAGCATGGTATTGCTTTGTGATGGTTGATATGTAAAAAATTCTGATTCTGGCCTACCCCCCCTGCACTTTGCCCTGGAACTGTGAGGCTTGTTGTCTTATGCACTCTCTCGTTTGTAGGAGTACGGTGGACAACGAACCCCACAGTTCTAGGGGAATGCTGGCTCACAGATTCAAACATACATGTACCACCTTGTTTTGGGGAGCTGTGCGTCCTTTTAACTAACAACAATCTTACGCTGCATCCTAAGTTTGTCCTGTGAAGAGAAGGTATTAATTGTGTGGTATTATTCAACGATGGCGGCGTATGAACACATTGAGGGGCATTCTCATTTGCCAAGCGTTGTACATGTACACATGCATGCATATTTAATACATGTACATGTACATGTACCTTTCATGTGTTTCCTTGTATTTGAGCATGACCATCAGGGTTTTAGCTAGGGTTGGGGAGAGAGGGAGTGCAAAATGAAATGCATGAGTACGACTTGAAGAACCAAGAATTCATGTGCGAAGCACGTAAACCAAGCACGCAGTGCAAAGTCTGTAACGGCAGGTGTTTAGGGCCAACTTCAGAGCCCTAGAAGCTTCTTGATATATGGTCTCTGGTGGTCTTTTAGTCAATTTTGATATTTTCCAAATGAAAGAGAGCTTAAATGGTTTGATTTTTTTTACAGAGAAAAACCGGTTTTAAAAAATGCACCTACGCAAATGTTCAAAAATACAATTTGGACTAAGAAGTAGCCTGACAGGGAACTTAACTTTTCTTAGCTTTTAACTTAAGCTTTTCAAAAAGTTGAAAGCCCTTTTCTGTTTTTCAGTACAATGTAGCATTGTAGGCGTACATTGTACACGTACATATTGGTGTACATTGTACATGTAGGTGTACATTGTGTAAATTGTAGGTGTACATTGTACGTATGTAGGTGTATATTGTTTGTGTACATTGTAGGCGTACATTGTACGTATGTAGGTGTACATTGTTTGTGTACATTGTAGGCGTACATGCACATTGTAGGTGTACATTGTACATGTAGGTGTATATTGTAGGTGTACATTGTACATGTAGGTGTACATTGTAGGTGTACACTGATTCTTTGGTTGCTCTTTTTGAAACTGAAACACCTAAAGGCAATTTTAAGTGAAGGCCAATTTAGTCTCATGACCTTGAACTCCCCCCCTCCAAGATTACAGGGAAGGTAACCAGACATGTATGCAAGCATGGTTTGGCTAAGTATCTGAAGTGGACGTCACTTTTTTACACAGTAGAAATGAAAAAGGTGATCATAGCCAGAGTCATTTAACAAATTATGAGTTTCTTGCAGGCCCCGACCTAGGCCTAGTTTAGAAAAACCTTTTTGATGTACAGACTGGAAAAGCGTTTGCTTTGCCAGGAGTTGTTCAGAACTATAGTTGCTGAGTTGTGAAATGCATGATGTGTACATTCAAAACTATACACCCACAGAGTTATGATACGATAAAAAGTTACGATAAGAGTAAAATCAGCAAGCTTGTACAGGTAGGAAAAAA